ATGGAGCATCAGCGCCGTACAAGCGAAGGGCTAGCGTTGACGCTAGCCCCTCAATACGCATATAGTCTCTCTATCTGAGAAATAGCTTTTAAAAAGAATAAGAATCAACAACAGAAGACTATTCCCACTAGCACTATTATTATAGATCTGAAAGACATTCCTATTAATACTAATAGAAAGTATTAATAAAGAGAAAGAAAGAAAACAAGGCTTTCTTTTAACTTTTAACTAATAAACTAATACTAATACTAATAAATAGAAAGAAGCTAAGTAGTTAGAGCTGCGCCCCCTGATATAAAGTGATGTGGAGAGAAGATAGAATTAAAGAATATAAACCTTTTTTTATAAATAAAGAATTTGAAGTAATACTAGACTAGTATTACTGCTAATACAGTAATACTAGTAGAAGATATTATTATATATACAACTAAGTAATATAGAATGACTATTATTAAATGATTTATATCACTCTATTAATAGAAGTCTACTAGTAAGATATAATACTTACAAATTATTCCCTTCCGAGTCATTATATAAAATAATCAAGAGAAAATAGAATTATAATAAAACGAGTAGAAAAAAGATTCAGATATTAGTAAACAATAAGTCACAGTCTAGCTTAACTTATATTAGACGATTAAAATAAGAACTTAGGCTATGATCTAGAAGCATATGTACAAATATACTCTATTATTAAAGAAACTTGAGTCTATCAGTAGTAATACTACTACTAAGCAATATTAACTAATATTATAAATTTGTCTTATAATATATACTAGCTCTTTTAATGCTTTCTTATCTCTAACTAATAATACAAGACTTATATATTAATCGTACTATTATAAATAAAACTTTAAGATAATATTAATAAAGTATATTTGTGAATAATATAGCGTGACAATTATTCCATTACACACCCCTCTTTCTACTACTAAACCCTATAAAAACACAAAATATAAGTTGATAAACCCTTATATCCCCCTCTACAAAGCCCGCTAACAGCTTCTACCACACTATTTATTGTAATATCTCCGCAAACAATCCCCCGGTCTATATTCTCCTACTCTGTCTACCTAGTATTCACCACCAACTCTACAAGCCCCTATCCCAAGAACTTGCTACTACCGGTACTACTACTAATCTCATAATCAAAAACCTTAGCACAGATAGCCCCATCCCATCCATTACTCATTACTCTTTATCAACCTCCTCCATCTCATCCCATACCATGCCATACTATGCCATCTCAGCTGCCCGCGTACCTTCCATCAACAGACACCATATGAACCTCAAACACAAATTCAAAGTCCTACGCCCACTCCAACTCCGTATTCAAAAATATACACAGTCTAATTATCAATTTTTCTAATTTCTAATTTCTAATTATCAAGTTTCGCTTCCGTCGTCTAGTCTAGTCTAGGACTTTAGTCTAGTCTTCTAGTCATCACATCACGTTTAAAAGGTTTTTTTTTCTTCTTTTATTTTCTTTACACACCCCGAAAGCAACCGAAAGCACCCGGAAGGAAGGAAAGAAAAGATGATGAAGGGCGTGTCTCCCTGTGTGTGGTGTGGAATTACCATTACAACTGATGACAAATAGTCGTAAATAAATCAAATAAATCATAAATACTTCCCCTCCCCTCCCTCTCCGCCATCCATCAACGACTTCTTTGCGACTCTTTGCGACTATTTGATCTTCATCTCTCTTATACTCTCACCCTGCGTCGCCCTGCATTAAGCGTCAAAACAGTCGCTACCAGCCTGCAGGCCCTGCACTAATCTCTTCTCGCGATTCGACTTCCCAATTGACGAGTTCCGTAATGCAATGCTATGAGAGATATGAGGGGGGGAGGATACCATCGGGGAAGTTCATTAGGAGTTGGGATTGGAAAATAAGGAGGGGGGAGGGAAGGGGAGCATGCAGTGGGAGTGGGCGTGGGAATTTTGGTGGACGGATCGGATACTAAGTATAGCGGCCATGTGATGATTGGAGAATCAATTTTAAGGCAGGAACAGTTGATTATGGGCTGGGTTTGGAAGGTTTTGAGCGGTTGAACCATATTTTCCGCTTATCGTGGGGAATAGCTTTGGGGGAGAGGGGGTTTTATACTATGTCGATAAGAGGATAGCCGGTACGGTAATATAGGGTGCTGGTCAGTCTACTAGTAGTAGTAGTAGTAGTAGTAGTAGTAGTAGTAGTAGTAGTAGTAGTAATCTAAATCATTAAGAGATTTTATTTGTTTACGTTTAATTGTTTCATTGTTTTACTTTGAGTGTGTACTAGAATAGTATTTTTGGTTTTTGTTGATCTATTATAAGATGAGAGAGGACAAACGAGTATGTAATATATGAACTAAATCAAAAAGATTTAAATCTCTGAGGTAAGGATGTAAAAGAAAAAGGCATAGCATGTTTGAGGAAGGTTAGGGTTGAGGGTCAAGAGGTGTGAGATAAGGAGGTTGAGGGGAGAAGGGGAGGGGGGGTTTGAAGGTTTGGGATGTGGATGTGGGAGAGAGGGGTATATTGTTTTGAATTGAATGGAGATATGTTTAAAATTGGTTGAAGAGGTTAGGAGGAGAGGGGTTTGAGTATCTAGAGAATAAATTAAAAGGTTTAGATTATATTTTTAAGTATGAGATGAATGTTGGTTTATATTAATTATACATTTGTTCGATATAGTTCTAGGAGACCGGAAGGAGAGTAGTGTTGGTATCAGATGAGTTAGGAGGTTATATTGGGGTTTTGAGATATAGAACGATTGCTATATATTATCTTTAATTAAATATTGTATTGTTGAGTATAGTTCTAAAAGAATGGGAGAGGAGAGGTTTGTATATATGTATGCTAATCGAAGTTTCTGGATGGAACTTGGAGGTTATATCATGGCGTGGCGACGATGAGGATGAGATTGAAATAGTTTGATATTGAAATTGAATGCAAAAGCGGTTGATTATGATTATGATTATGATTACGTTTATAGAATGTGAAGGTTAGAGATAGCCAGATTGGAGATTAGAAACGAGAGATTGTCGGTATAACATGTGGAAATCAATACAATGCAATGATTTTAGTCAAATAGACAGAAGAGATAGATGCGATGTATGCGATAGAGATATCTGCAGTAAAGACAGGAGGATAGAAATATAAAAGCTTCCAAAAAACCCAACAAATTAACAAATGCCACTAAAGTAATCTCGCCGAAACCAAAGCCGAAAGGCGAAGGCTATCTATCTACTGTACTTGTAAAACAATTTCATTAGCCGCAGTCTAGAATTTGAAGACCCAATTCTTAATCTTAATCTGCTCGTTAGATGTGGCTCGCTTGACACTTGACACTTATTGTGATGAGGCTCTGTTCATCTCATCTCATCTCATCTCATCTAAAATATCTCCGAGTAAATAAATGCATTGTGAACTTCCTTCCTTCCTTCAGCTTCCCTCCTCCCTCAGCAAGTGACGAAGGCAGCTATCGTACTAGTACTATGAAATGAAGATGAAGATTTAGATATAGATATCGAGTTGATATAGACTAGATATAGGGTGTAGATACAAACAGGGTGTAATTAGATACAGACAGGTTGTATGTAGATATAATCTAAAAACGAATTTATACTCATACTCATACTCATTCCAGAGCTCCTATCTATCTATCGATCGATATTACCTTCACCTTCAATTTCATCTTCACATTCAACTAACAAAAGATATACTCGAGTATTACAAAAAGCAGAAAGCAAAAAGTAGAAAAAGAGGAAAATATATAAATAAGAATTAATTAAAATAGATGAGGCATTGCCGCATTGCCGAAACACAAAAAGATATACTCGAGTAGCTAGCTGCTAGTGAGACACGAAGTATTTAAAAAGTAGTTTTGATGAAATCAAAACTTAGTGATGGATGTCCATCCCTCATCCCTCATCCCTTCTTTCCTTTACCTCGCCCAAATACCTCAATTTCACCTAATATCCATCACCTCACCCACTATCTATCTACTTATACGAATAGATAATAAATATAAAGCACCTCCTTAAACCCAAACAATACCCAATTAACTCCCTTCCCTCTTTTCCCCTTCACCCCCCTTCACCCCCCTTCACATCCTCCTTTACCCCCCTGAATTATTAATTCCACACAATCCAATTCAATCCAATGGTCCCCAATCCAATAATCCCTCGCCCAGCCCAGTCCAGCCCAACCCAGTCCAGGTAGGTTTTCAATTCCAATTTCAACCTACTATCTACTATCTATCTATTTATCTATTTATCTATCGTCTCCCATCATCTTCTACGAGTATTCTAAACTTCGTCACTTCGTCACAAATACACACATACATCCGCATGCATCCATCCATTCATCCGTAAAACTCAACTCAACTCGGCTCCCACTGTAAAGAAAAGCTTTACTCACTATGACTACTGACTACAGTACACATACCAGTATACATCTTTTCTTATCATTTTCTTATCATTTTCTTACAACTAGCTTTCGACCACCAACTTTCCCCACCAAGACAAATCACCTCACCTCACCTCTGCACCAATCACTTCTCACAATCAATCACCCGTTTCCAACTAAATTACTCCTCATCTCCGATAAAACTTATTTATTTCCTGGAAATCCGTTTCGTTTTGCTTTCTTTTCTAAAAGTACATACACACCGTGCCACTAGTAAGTACTATAGTGACCTGACCCAAGCAATAAAAGTATAGGTTACCTTTCTCTGGCAATATTTGAGTACCCTGAATGAAGCCCTGACCCTTGCCCTTGACCGCAAACTCCTGCCAAAGTCAAAGGGCAGACGGACGGAAATGGAAAACCCCAACCAAACCAAACCATAATGAAAGCAGAAAAACATTCGAGTATGCACATTCATTTTGTGCTGATAGGATAGGAAGAGAAAACATGAACTAGAGAACAAGTGAACAAATGTCCAGTGTGATAGGCTGGAAGATGAGATGGAAGTTGTAGAAACTACCTAGGTAGGCGGTGTGACAGTGAGTCTATGAATCATCTTCAGTCTTTTTAAAAACTCTATGATCATGTTAGTAAGATGTCGGAAAGGGGGTGATGTGGATAAACTGTACAAGTGTCTTTCATAGAAACTGAGCATCTGTTTTTCTGGTTAGTGTGGAACATTAAGATATAATTTTGGATGGCTCTACCTTCTGAGGGCAACGCTTATACACTTGATGTAATGGGTGTTGCGACTTGGCTCCACCCTTCCATGTCAAGTAGACGATAACTTCCGCATTTGGTCCCTCCATGGCTTCGATAGTAACAACATCATCTTCCCATGTTCCACTGGGTGGTTTAAATTGAGTGGGCTCGAGAGATGCGGGTGGTGTAGATGAGCAGGGGTGGCCATTCTTCCTTAATTTCTTTCCATTGGCTTGAGGAGTACCAGCACCGGTGCTGGGTCGTCCACGCTTCTTTCCTTGTTTCTTTTCCGCTAATTCCGCTGCCTCTGCTTTCTTCTCATTGAATTGATCCATGAGGGATTCCTTACCACCAACACTTTCGAGATATGCGTTAAGAATGTCTTGCGCAGTTTCCCTAGAAGCTCATGGTTAGTCCGGCAGAACTCAGAGGGTATAAATGTAACGTACAGATTCTCCTCTGGTTCCCAAGTCAAATCTGACTTCTTATTCCAACCCTCCCACTTAACCTGGAATCTGAGAACGCCCTTTAAACAGTGTCAGAGATACTCATCCCAATATTGAAAGACGAATCCACTTACTCCCTCATCAATAGCATGCTTCAAGATCTTTTCAACCACAAATCTGCGCATCCGTTAATCATTGAATGCAAATATCCCATGTCCGTTGAGCGCATACTCATCCTCTTCTTGTCCCTCATCAGGTTCTGCATCCGATTCGACCTTCAATTCTTCTTCAGGCTCTGACTCATCGCTCTTGGCCTTTCCCTTCACGTCTCTCTTGTATTCTTGTTCGCTAGCATCGGAAACCGAACCCTCGTCGTCACTAATAATTGCTGTAAATGGTGAGCGCATGTCAAACAGTTGGCCAAAGCTGACACCAGTCGTTGCGAAGGGATTCCAACTGGAGTGAGATTTTGAGGAATCTGCGATCTGATATGTGACTTACGAGGAGGCATTTCTGCAGTTGAAAGTGAGCTTCAAGTTTGTGTAAAAGAGATCGCAAGCTGTTCCTGATAACTCTGTAGCTCAATTAGAATTGAGAATGGAAGAAAAACAGAAATATGTCACTTGGGATATCTTAAAATAGATGCGTCGTCTTTCTCAGATGGTTGATGGTGATAAGTTGACAGTAAGGTTGTAATAATTGTGAGAAGATCGGACCCTGGCGACGCGACAAAAGCTCCGAAATATAAGGCAATTGTTGACAGTGCGTGTTTCTGACCAATTGATGGATGGCTATGAAATCACATGAAGATTGGTATCGGAGTAAATTCGGATCATCTAAAGGGAGCTGGCAGTCTGTGTGGGACTAGAGGAAACGAAGAGAAAGATCTACAAACTCACAAGGAGAGCTTATCCTCAACATCTACGAGTAGTAAAACTCAAAGCAATCCTCTATTAATCTCTACAAATCACAATTAATCCATACTCTCCAAAAGCAAGCATATACATATCTATCTATCACAATAAATCTAAGATCCATCTGTATTTAAGATGATGCACCTACAGCTAAAAATAGCGACAGAAACCTATCTAACAAAGAGTCAGTCAGTCATCCAAGCAACAAAAGCCCTTTCTTTTAGCGAAAGTAAAAAAAAGGGGGGGGGAGGAGGGGATAAAGGGATAAAATAAAGGTCGAAGCTCAGCTCACTACTCATTAGTATGATGATCAATTCCCTTTCCTAGGTTTCCTTTGGGTGGGGAATGTTGAGGGATGGCATATATACTAGGTATTTGAATGAAGATGAAGATTAAATATTCGTATTGTGAATGATTGACTGACTTATTGAATTGACTATTTTACATATACAAGCTATTCTACACATACAAGACAGAATCTAATATCAACAAGTAAACTCCAACAGAAATACAAGCCAGTAAGTGTATCTTATACAATCTCCCTCAAAGGCACTCCACTAATCAATCAAACCTTCATCTTCGATCACTACTGAGTAGCAGAAAGGTTTTCTTTCGAGTTCCCAGCTCTAACTTATAACATGATGCAATTTCCACCCAAGACAAGACCACCGGCACTCATTTCCTTATCCAAAGATTTCGGAAACCCCTTCCACAGCGGTCTCATTGAATTCTTCAAAACAGACGTACCTACCATTGCGCGTACGACCGCATAAGGAACCTGAGACGCCGTGAAATTCTTACCCGCTTGCCACATTTTGACAGATGATACCATAGCCACACTCGACGGAACAGACAAAGATCCCACATCTTCAACCCAGTCTGCATCTCCTCGATCCATATACCGAGCGATCTCGTGCGCCGCTATCTTGAGTATGTCAGGTCGAAGATGTTGAATATTGTGCCCCATGATATTGATCATCAATTGAAAATTCTCACTTCCTCGATGTGGCATGATCGGGACCACAAATCCTAGCTTGGCCAAAGTAACATGAAGTTGCGCCATCAAAATATCGCATTTGCGCGTTACGGTGATATAATCAATATCCATCTTCTCCATAATACCCGGTAGAAAATCTCTCAGCTCGCCCAGAATCTGGATAGGTGTACGGTGATGATATGAAAGTTTCTTGACGAGTAATTCGGGAAGTTTTCGATTCGCCAGGGCATATTCTCGAAGTTTGAACATGCATCGCGCGATGGTGTCACCGCAGAGGTTCATGTCGCCCCGGGATGAATGTGCTTGTTCTAGTAGCTTGGAGACATCTGGTTGCTTCCATTTATCGTAGACGTCACGCCATTGGATTTGACCTTGTCGGCGATGTTGTACGAGATTTGTCGATGAGTAACCCATGCCTAATAGTGCTCGCGCTATGAGATGTCAGCATTCATGAACTTAAACAAGGTGAGGTCTCTCCATGATGGCGAATGATGATATTGACAAGAAATCAGGAACTTACTGTAAAATTCATGAGTTGTCGTGGGTCGACCACCCGTGAAGATATCATGTAAGTTCGCATCAATAAATTTGTCCAGGCTAGACCAATTTCCTTTGATATAATTCATCTGCTGCCCAGCGTTATAGATATGAGCAATAGAAAAGCTTGTCCCGTTCGATAGAACAAACTCAAGTCCAGCTCGTTCTAAAGAAAGCTTAAGTCTCAAGGTTCGTAATCCAGTACCGAGAGGATTTTGGCGGAGGAAGAATGCCGGATCTGTTTCATGCCGAATCCATTTCGTAGATAGATTTTTGGATATGATTGTATCTTTGATTTTCATTTCGGCCGCACATGATTGATGACCCTTGGGAAGCTTTGGAAATGCATGCAAGTCCTCATCCATACGCGCTACTCTCTCCTTGACTTCCTTCTGCTGCAAAGAGTAGATGTTCCATGCTAGAGCCTCGGCCGTCTCATCAGGTTCCTTGTCGCGGATGGTCGAGAGCCAACTATATTTCATACAAGGGATAGGATTGTGCTCAATGGAGTTATGAATATCCTGCCATATTTCGATAAAGTCTTCTCTAGTAGTATCATACTCCATTGTTCCCGGAGAAGTATAACGTATCATTGCTTTCGCCATGGCGCTTTTCTCCAAAAGCTTCGTATAGGAATCTCCAACATTATCCCCAAGAATTCGCCACTATGGAGTGAAGTCAGTTTAAGGTAATAGATAGAAGAGGAGATACACTAACAATATCGAGGAGCAATGCAGCTCCAAAGATAATCCAGGTTGGAATGGCTTTGGAATTTCCGGGAGCTCGTTTCTTGATGATGAGTCGGAGGTAACGTGTGATAATATCCTCAGGTTCATTTGGAGGAGCCATGAAACCCCCATGAACTTGGAATTTCTCTTGAATAGCCAGTTCCAACAGAAATTGGGTAAGCCTAACATCATCCTCTTGCCGAATATCTATTGTAGATTGCCGCTCGACCCCATCAGAAAACAAAGATAATGAAAAAGGTGGTACGACGGGTGGAAAGCTGTCTGGTTCACAATCTTGTAGTGCTTGGAGAGTCTTGTTGATGATTTGGTAGGCTGGATAATACAAAAAGTCATCAAGGTCAGTTGTATCTTTTTCTTCTCCCGGGGTATGACAACCTTCCATGGTTGGAAAGTATATATTGTCTACAATATTTAGCATCGTTGACTCTGGCTTAACATATCGAGCTGGTAGGGACATCATAATGCGGCTTTCTTCGAGTGAAACCTATATGATAAGTCAGATTACAAAACCAGGAGAATGAGGGGGATCTGAGAAGTATATCTAAAGTCCCGGTTTCAAAAATACAGGGGGATTCACTTACGATATTGACAGCGTAGTTGGTCAAAAGATATGCACTACTTATATCCAAATTGCCATTCGCGTGACTTTTCCATGTATCTCCGACAAACTCTTGAATCCTGTGCAAATCCTCAAAAAAGCAGAAGGCGATGAAAGGTACATCGATGTCCGGGTCTGTATCCAGCTCGTATGTTTCCAAGGGCGTGGAATTGGTGTTGACCTTAGCGGTACCAGATTTAAGATCAGCAGTAGCAAGATCCTCATCGGCAATGTCCTCCACGTCCAATATTTCAAACATGTTAGTTGGAATATCCAAATTCTCATTTGCTTTAGGTTCCGTGCTAACACCTTGTCCATTCTTTCTCTTGTTGATTTCGTAACAAGGTGTAAGAATGTCCAGTATGGTCTCAAGTACTCCGATAAAATGCTCATGTGATGCGTTGACCTCCTCGTCCTCAGCTCGAGCTTGTTGAAACCATTTCAAGAATCGTTTACGAGCACGGATTGCACGTTCGGCCACGCGATGAATAACGGAGGGGAATATGACAGCAGTCTTCCTCTGCTCAGCAATGACCTTTGCCTGTTCGACCAAATCTCTAGTACTTATAATGACGACCGTTGTCTCAAACACCTGTGGGGAGGGCTTAGCGGCAGACACTTGTGCTTTCTTAGCATTCTTCCTAGCTTTACCCTTTAAACGAGTTGAAGTCGCAGAAGGATTGGCAGGTTTAGAAGGACTGGAGAAATTTGAAACGTTTGAAACCGAACTTGAAGTAGAGGTGGTGGAGGTAGCCGAAAAAATTGATGAGGAAGATGAGGCGGAATGTGAACTTGATTCGGAGGTAATGGATGCATTTGAGAAGACTCTTCTAGTAGAAGTGTCTGGTTTGTATCCACATTTGATCGCTGTTTGAGCAAGCCATGTAGAGAATACATTGGTGTCGTCTTTATATCTCTTGTAGCTACTAGAGAGTCCTTCTGGCAGCATGATTAGGGAATTGTTTAGATAAGACTCGGGTATCTAATGTTTTTTGGTAAGGATCGATGTGTGAAGAATGATAGGTGAGATTCACTTACCAAAATCTGAGTATCGAAGTTTAGTTTGAGTTAAAGGTAGGTAAACAAGAAATGTATGAGGTATGCCGAATTTTCTTGAATCTTTTGATATATTCTGCATAAAAAGTCAGTAATTCGAATTAGAAGTCACTCGTAGTTGATAGCTTGGTAAAAATGCAATGTATGTATGCGCGGTGTATGAATTTTGGCTGTTATTTTGAGGTTTGAAAATAAACAACAACAATAACAACGATGGAAGACGCGAGATGGGAGGAAAAATACAGACTTGAAGGTATGAGTGATCGAGAGGTTTTTGAAAATCATCAAACAAATCTATATTATTATTTACAATATCTTGGTATTAATAAGACTGTAATTGAAGGACAGAGAATCCGCTCAGGATTTTAGATGCGTCGGTGTTGTGTGATGTTGGATGTTTACATGCAAAATACTTTTGATAAACCGCCTCAGGAGAATTCCGCTATCATGAAAACGCGGTTGGAAGACTTCACTTCATTTTCGCCTCAACATTTTCTCTCCTCACTCAAGTAGGTAGCTTAATGTGTCTCTCATCTTACCGGTCTGTACTCAGACTGCACCAATGCAAGAACTTTCCTGGTATAATCTTCCATATCAGCGCACCCGCAAAAGATTGAAGAGAGATAGGAAATTATTGTATGACTTCAAGATCTTTTCTAATCATTTAGGTTAGTTGATGGCCTTGCTTTCCTTCAAATGAATGGTGGTTGGATTGGCAATGCAGGGAAAGAGACGAGGAGGAGAGGAGAGGGGAAATAGGAGAAATAAAGGGAAAAATAATTCCATTACAAGGTCACCAGGTGATTTATATGTTCTATGGGTTGGAACAACTTGGATAGTCTTGAGGAATGTGACAAGTAGGTAGGTACCTTCAATAGAATGTCTCGGGATATTATATATGATGAATGCTCCATGGAAGACATAACCTTACGACGTCCGATGTTGGGGATGCCTTCATATTTCAAGCTTCACTTCACTTCACTTCACTTGAATCATTTCAGGTTGTACTCGTGAAGAGTGAAGAGTGAAGAATGAAGTGAAGAAGTGAAGAGTTGAAGTATTATAATTAAGTTCAATATAGCTGAGTCATCTAAAAATCACGAGGTCTCGTGCCCAATTCGCGAACTTCTGCCTGATAAAAAGTGGATTATTCAAGGCTTCCACAACATCTCACCACGTCTTCTTTACTCTTTACGACTTCTTTAACCAATTAATCAATCAGCATTCCACTTTACATAAGACACAAAGATCTTCATCACAGTCTCCAATGTTCTTCCTCTATTATCGAGGATATCTCTCTCAAAAAGTATAAGTAATTGATGATTTTCCATCGATATTCTTCATTTTCATTGATTTCTCATTCATACTTATACTCACACTTACCCTCACCCTCATACTCATATCCCTTCATATCAATTCCACGGTCGCGTCGATCATTACTTCAATTAACTACCTTTACTTCACATCTCACTTTCCCTACAAAATACACAATTCATCAATTTATCATGCCACGTAAACGCACCATCGAAGAAGATGAGAATGATGAAACCATTCCTTGGAGCGACCATCTAGTCGCTGGATTGAAAGCCGAGCTTGACCGGCGTCACCTCTCCAAAACCGGTAGGAAAGCAGACTTAGTAGCACGTCTTCAAGCATCCGATAATGGAACTTTGATCATTGAACCCGAAGCTCCTATTGTCCAAAATCCTCCTGCCGAAGCGGGTCCTTCTTCTACTTCCGATGCACCACCAAAGAAGAAGAGAGCTAAGAAGGAAAAGAGTCCAGATGTGGTCATTGAAGGTCAATTTGCGTCCGAACTCATCATTTATCAAAACATCGATACGCGTACAGGCGAGAGACGCGAGAAACCTTTCGTCGCAGAACCCGATGCCAAGTTTAAGGATAAGGTCAAGCGTATCCGAAAGGAACGTATGTTCATGTTGAATCGTCAGAAAGATGTTGATGCCAAAGGAAGAAGTTGCGAGAATTTCGATATCGCTGGTAGTACCGGTAACATCTATCAAACCAAAATCGGACGTACACCAACATGTACTTGTATGGATGCCGTAAGTGATCTGTTTTTTCTGCCATTGTGCAATGTACGCTGACAAGAAACCAGAGAATTCGTGGTCAGAAGTGTAAGCATATCAATTGTAAGTATCTCCAAACTTCACGTCACATCCATGTACTGATGAACTATAGATGCATTAATCATCATCTACAAAGCACCTATGCACCTCTGTTACCAACAAGCATTTCTATCCCATGAACTCGAATCCATTTGGGCCAATGCACCTATCACACGTGCCCCGGATGGACACAATCACGACCACAAAGCCGAAAACGAAGACGAAACCATCTACAACGGCAAACGCAAACCCATCGACGGCGAATGTCCAATCTGTGTCTTCGAAATGGAACCCGGCGAAGAAATCGTTTGGTGTAAAGCAGCCTGCGGTCAGAACTTCCACAAAGAATGTTTCAATCAATGGAAAGCTAGTAAGCACGGTGGACTTGTCACTTGTGTTTATTGTCGTACACCGTGGCAAGAGGATGATGCGACTCCTAGACCTGTGTCGGGTAGCTTGGCTGCGCTGAAAGATGTTGCGCCGAAAATTGGTAGTTATAAGAATATTGGTAATATGCCTATGTATTCTCAGGAGGCGAAGGAGAAAATGATGGATTGATCGATTGAATGGGGATTTTGCGGTGAGGTGAGGTGCGGTGCGGTGTGGTGCTGAAATGGAGATGAGATGCAGGACTGGAGGATATGATGAATGAATGAGGATGGAATTTTGCTACGCCGGATGTCGGTCGTACTGGGGATTTAAAGCAAGCACGTTAGCTACGATTTTACGATTTTCTTTTTCTTGCAATACACACAATTTATTACGGGAGGAGAGGAGAGAGGAGAGAGGAAAGAAGATCCCGGTATACCCATTTGCTTGCTTTCTTGCTTGCTTTATTGTCGCATGTATGTATGTATGTATGTATGTATGTATATATGTATGTATATACACATGTACATAGCTTACAACATCTACCTTTTAACCTTTGCTGAATTAAGATTTAATCTTACTGAATTAAACATCCCTCTGATTCTAACTGATTTCCTGTATAATTCGAGTATATGCTACATACCTACCTACCTACCTTGATTGTTGGCCTTTCTTCACTTAGATTTGATTTGAATAGATAGACAGACGTTTTTATAATGTTTATTTGTTGATTTGTTTATTTGTTTGAATTTGTATTTGTATTTGTATTTGTATTTGAATTTGATATGAAAAGGAGGGAGGAGGTTGAGGGAGGAGGGAGATTGAGGGAGGATGTTGGGTTTAGGAATAGAATGGGATAGAATAGGATAGGATGGGATGGGATAGAGATAGGATAGGATAGAATAGAGATAGGAATGTAACCCAAGTACTCGAGTAGAAGTAAAGAAAAGTTCGGATTTTGAAAGATAAAGGGAAATGGGAAAGAGAAAAGGGAGGGAAAGAGAAGGGAAAGGGAAAAGGGAGGGGAGAGGGTTAAGGAGAGAGGGGAAAGGGAAAAGGAAGGGGAAGAGGGGAAAATTGAGAGGGTATGAGATGATAAGGGAGAGGGGTATGGGAAGAATGAGGGGGGATAAAAGAAGGGATAAGAGGAGGTATAGGAAGAAAGAAGAGGTATAGGAGGGCGTATAGGAGGGCGTATGGAAGGGGGTATGGGAGAAGATGCTGGATAAAATAAAATAAGGGGACTCGGAAGAGATAAAGAGGGGGTTGGATATAGGAAGAAGATAGAAAGGAGGCAATGGGTATGAGAGCAGGGAAATAGGATGGAGGAGATGGCTGGTGGGAGCGGGGATTATAATGAGAGTGAGAGGGTATGGGGAGGAAATAGAGAAATAGAGAGGAGGGTATGGGATGGACGAAATGGGGGGATGTTTAAAAACACAGAAGAATTAGTTTGAAGAGTGTATGTATTATATAGTATAAGGTTTGTGATTTGCAGTATGCGGTTTGTGGTTTGTGGTTTGTGATTTGTGGTTTGTGGTTTGTGGTTTGGGGTTTGTGGTCTGGTTAAAGATGAAGGGTTTAGATATTTAGATAATCAGGGTACTCGTAAAAGAGAATGAGAGGTTAGAGGAAGAGGTTAGAGGAAGAGATTAAAGGAAGAGGTTGAAAAAAGAGAGAATGAGAGAGAGAGGAAGAAGAAGGAGGAAAAAGAGGAAGAGATTAGAGAGAATAGAGGAAGAGATTAGAAGAAGAGGTTAGAAAGAGGAAGAGACTAGGAAGAGGTTAGGAAGAGGAAGAGGTAGAGAGATTAGAGGAAAAGAATAGAGGAAGAGAAGGATAGTTTTGTTATATTATATTATCAATAAGTGTATCTATTTGTACTCAAATACTCAAATACTCAAGTGCTCGAGTACTCAATAAACAATAAACAATAAACAATAAACAATAAAAATTTGTATAGATAATTATTTTGTATTTATATTTATATTTATATTTATATTTATATTTATATTTATATTTATATTTATATTTATATTTATATTTATATTTATATTTATATTTATATTACCAACTAATAGTTGATTAACAAGATAAAGGATGGAGATGAAGATCTAGAGTAGCTAAAGAGGTAAGGGGGAGAGAGAGAACTATATTTGAGATTCTTAAAGAACTCAATTTGAGAATCATCGTTACTTTTGCTTACTTACTCGAGTACTTACTTATTCATCCTTCCTTGCTTTCGATCCATTCTCTAATTCTATTCTTCTATTCATCTCTTAATATGATTAAGTAACACAGAACCCCGCAATTTTCTTTTCTCTCCCATCCTCGATCCCTTATCCTCCATTCCAATTCTCCATCCTCCATTTCATTTCTTCATTCATTTCTTCATCCCATCCCATTCCCATCCGTCCCGCAATCAATCATCAAAAACAATCAAAAACAAATCAAACATAACCTCATTAAAAGAAAAAAAGAAAAACAAATTAATATAAACTGATTTTGACTAATGACAATGACAGATGTAATGGATGATACATGCGAGTGAGAGTGAAAGTGAGTTGATGCAGGCCAGAAAATTGATTGAAGTCGTCAGCTGCACATGTTGGCTGGATTATTCCAAAAAAAAAACTAATTAATACCAAAAAAAATAACCAAAACATCTGTTTTTATTATAGAAAATTAAAATTTAATATTTCATTCAAAAATCAAAAAACCTTTTTGCAAATATTAGAATTTTGCATATGTTGGAGGTATGCGAGGTCGTAAAGTAAAGTAAAGTAAAGTAGTGGTACGCACTCATAAAAGGAGAAAGCAGAACAGAAAATCTAGCCCAACTGAATGTGAATATGCTGTAGTCATATCAAAAGAAAAGCCGAAAATTGCCGCAGAGTTGAAAGTTGATAGACGAAGACGAAGACGAAGACGGAAAATGACAGTAGGATGAGGGTGCAGGTTTATTAGGCAAGGTATCTAGGAAAAGATAGCTCCGATTGTGAATAGAAGTCGACTTAGAATAAACAGGGCGTGAAACTCATCATCGGATGTAGGCGTAGCACAAAGCGAAGCGAAGTGAGTAGTCGACAGCAACAAGAGGATGATTGTGATACCAAGAATGAAGAGTTGCCATCAGGTAATGAAGTTAAAGCATGAATTGATACTTCAAACCTCACCACACTGATCTGAACCATTGACATAATCTTCACCTCGTTTCAGAGCTTGAATCGCCTCTTCGCTACTATTGTAAGTATTGCGTCGTTTGTTTTGCATTTCTTCGATCGGACTTTGTTGACGATATCTGGGTTGTTCAAAGTCTCCAGTCTCCGAGCGATCAGTCTCAGTCTCCTCTTGAATTGCAGCTGTAACAGTAGCAGTGGACTCATCATCGTCTCGGGGATGGGTGATATCGTTGAGAAGCTGCTGGAAACGGACTTCAAATTCCTCAAGTGCTTTTAACTCGGTCTGAAGCTTGCGACGTCTTGCACCAACTTCGTCATTCTCTTCCATTAGTTCTTGGCATTTGGCAATACCTGTGCATTTGTTGTTAGCTAGTATCACTTTCTCATCTCAGAAAAGATGCTTACCAGTAACAACATCATTGGTACCAAGTTGATTTTCGAGGAAATCTTCAATGTTCTCTTTGATATAGCGGAATAGGCGGTTGTTTATACTGATACAAACATAATCAATATATCTATTCGCTGCCACGACATAGTATCCTCTGATATATGCCGCAACATCGATCTCGTTCTGAAAGGCATCTTTACCCAATTGCTCGACGGTGACTTGGTCCACGAGTTTCTTCTTTTCCTGAAGATAGGCTTCCTTTTCGGCCGGCTTTGCCTTCATTCTCTTGGAGCCGCAGTATATCTCTTTCTCCACGAATCGAATAGCACGCACTTTACGACGCTTTTCTTGCAGATCCAACTTCTCGATTTCTTTCCTCTTCTGAATGCCTTCCTGATCCATAGTAAACGGACTGTATGTTTCCAGCATGTAAAGCTCATCGAGTGCATCTCGCTGCGTTTTGAAAAGCTCTTCGTCAATCCATTTTTGAATAATCGCGATCGACTCCCGATATAGACCAGTCTGTTGGTATGGACCTAAGATCTTCTCAACAATATTTTCGATCTCAGATCGCAATAAACTGATGACTCCTTTAAGCAGTATGTGGGTAGGCGATTGCCAATCACTTACAGCCTTCTCACAGAAATGCTGATATACAGGTGTGTTAACCATATCAGGGAGACCCATATAGGTATGATTCTCTATCTTTCTTCGTATATCGCCAATACTTGCAAAACGTTTGCCATAATGTGCGTGGCACTCGAAAATGGTATTTCTGAAAGGATTTCCATGGGATTGAGCCATTGGTCTTGGAGTATGAGGAGAATTTGGTGTCTCGGACTTGAACTTGGAAGGGGTAAATGGTGTTTGATTCACGCCTGATGCGAAAGCTGTCTCATCAGTAGCGATCTGCTCATGTGTGCGTTTCCTATTACTATCTGCCACGAGCCTAGGTATAGGTACATGCTCCACGGACCTGCCAGGTACAGGCTCAAATCTATCGTCGGTGTCATCAACATCGAGATTAATAACTTGGACTTTCAACACATCCGATGCATCCGAGACAGTTATATTTGGTTTGTTATGCAAAATTAACTGGTGGAATAGACGAGAAATTTTGGTCCACTCCCCATGGAAAGTTGTGTCAGATCGATTTCCTTCACTACCCATGACCTTTTTGACTCCTTGGCTGAAATTGTGAAGAAGACGGCTGACGTGAAGTTGGACGTTGTGGTTTGGCAACTCGGGAAGTCCCTTGAGTTCCTCAACGATGATATTCTTACGCCTAGCAATCCTGATCTTGATATCGGGAAGACTATGTAGAAACTGTTAGTACAATGCAGAAAAAAATGAGAAGCGACTTGTCACCAACCTTTTGTTGATCGATTGGGCTAGAAGACAAGAAAGTAACATTTGAATTCTTGGGATTCCACATAGATTTTGGAATTTAAACCATTTGCCTTGCCACAACTCATTTGTTTTGAAGAATTCTTCCTCATCTTTGCGAGCTTGGAGGTGATAATCCACATCGCCCGGTTGAAAGTCCTGTCCAGGTTGTCTAGTAACATGCCATCCATGGCCTAAGAGATGTTCTTGGCCACTCAAGATCTTTTCCCAGTCATTGGTGCCGTGCTTCTCCACAAGTGTATCAGGCTTTGTTAAGACACCCATGCAACGATCTGTAGCACGCTCTTCTTCAATAAGTGACTTGGATTTCGACAAAACTGCCTCTACTTGCATGGTCATAACAAATATGATCAATGTGTTAGGGGTTCTTATGTATCTATAAGACGTTAGAAGTGATTAAGATGAATAATAAGGGAGACCACAGGTTTAACGAATGAGCAGTACTCACTTTTTGGCAATATTATCGAAAAACTTGATGAGATATCTTGTATCACTCGTGGCCGAATTTGCAATGATGCCTGGTAAGTCAAACAACGATAACGTGGGTAGTCCTGGACCAGAGATCTCGACTTTGACAATATTTGGTGTGGCATCGGCTTGAGTATGATCAATATTATTGATGAAGTGCGAACCGCTGCCTGGGATGAACTGTTCATAATATTGATTGTGATTGAGAAGAGCAATCTGTGCCCACTTCATGGCCTCCTCTAGCTTCGTCTTGTCTGTAATTCTGATGAATTCTTTAACAACAAGTTCCTGCGGATACCAAGGTGGGAAAGGATTATCCTTGGTGACGTCGCGATCCTTCACTGGAATTGAACGGTATCCGTACCCCTGACGAAGTGAGATTGTACACGACCACACATCAGCTGCTTTGGTTATGATGTTTGCCGGACATCTTGTGCAGCACCCGCTATTCTTGGGTAGAGTCATTCCCGTGACTCGGCCAATGAGTGATGATTTACCGACACTTTGATCACCTATCACAACGATTTTTGAGAGATCGACAACATGCTCGACATCGTAATCCGCCAACTCGCTCAGAGCTTCGATCAGCTTTTGTTGCTCCTTGCCGATTCGGACAAACCCTTCCATACTGTCCAGACTTGGAGTTGTGTTACGGCTATCAGGTTCTTCGTCTTCCACGGGATTACTCGCAGGATGATGAGATGCTGCGGAAGAGAAAGACATTATTAGCGAAGACCTCATGATAAGAATTGAACACGCTATCTTACCACCCTTGTAATGGCGAGTTCCTCGATCGGCGTCGATCTGATAATGCGGGTTTGAAGAAGAATGATATTCCTTAGCACCTTGAGAGGATTGAGCTATAGATCTATGCAAGGCTTCTTGTTTGATTGTGAAGGGACTTGTCGGGAGTTTGGTGCGGGTAGGACTTGTCAATTGAGCATGCGTTGGAGTGACCTCTTCCTTCTGCTTTCTGGTGATCCGGGAAGCCATGCTGATGATGTTTAAATATCTGTTCTGATGCTGTCCTATGTCAATCACGTATCAGCGCCTGCAACAATTGACAAATTCTACTTTCAGAGAAGTTTCAAGATCGTGCAGTGCTGCCTGCTAGGCATACGAGAAATTGAAAGATGGAATGCTATACCTTGTGATAGTCTAAAATGGAAAGACAAAACCAGAGTCAAAATTTAGTAAAACTCAGAGACGAAGATACGAGATCTTCCGACGGGGGTTTTGAATATTGGTCTAAGTCAGACTTAATGAGGAGAAATGGAAGAGCTTTTCCAATTTGGAATTCACTCGTTAGGCAGACATTGTTACGAGGTAACAACTTGAAGAGCGTGCAGAAAGAGAAACAATAGCAAGTAAGTTCGATGCTCCCGAAAGCAGCTATGCAGAAGTTGGAGAAGATTTAATAGAAGGTGAGGTACAAGTAGAATGAATAGAAAAGTAGTGGAAATGAAAATGAAAATGAGAGGGAAATAGAGAGAATCAAATATTATCAGATCTTACTAGTAGTGGCAGGAAACGCGACCGTATAGAGCGTTTGCATATGGCCTTGAAAGTGAATAGAAAATCCATCCAATTAGAGATCAGAGTGATTGTAAAGTAACAATTTTATTGATTCGTTTGTTTTTATTTGATATTTATTACCTTAAGAGGTTTGAAAATGATTATCAGATTTGGATGACCTTCCCCGCCAAATTTGATATCAAGTGAACTTTGTAAATACTACCTTGTAGAGAATCTGATAGAACTTTAGATATACCTACCGCTCTATCTTTTAATTAGATCTTGACCCTGGAAGCACTCTCAGCTTTGAGATTTCTTCTAGGATGTGATGATGATGCTTTGACTCAAAACTGATAGACTTCACTCGCGAGGACGGGTAGTTGAATCCATCACCTAGGATTCTTGACTTGCTTTTTTCTGGATTCGGCTTCTTATATTTTAAATGGGTATTGATATGCAAAGGAGAGCAAAGAGAGCAAAGAGGGCAAAGAGGGCAAAGAGGGCAAAACGAAGTTGGCATAGTGATGATTGGTGAAGCTGATCTGTTGGACTGTTGGAGTTGTTGGAGTTGTTGGAGTTGTGGTGAGTGAACAAGGGAAGGGGTTGGATTACCTCATCTTCACATGATTCATGATTTATTATGTATTATTGTATTATATTGTGTATTTTATTATGCATCGGCACAGACCAGCTGAACCTTTGATCCATTATCGGAATAAGCCATAACAATACATACCTTCTAGAACCAAAGCCAGGTGTTCATGTTAATTTGGCAGATATCCCACAAATACCTCTTTTAATATCTTCAATCATTCATCAATCATGTCTTTACAAATTCCTCACAGAGAAAGACCAAGTAGTGCTGCTTCAGCAGCAACAAAGGCTGTTATTTTGGTAAATTCATCAAATCATCATGGAAATAATTAAATGCCCAAGGAAGAAGGCTGATGATGAGGCTACTAGGTTGGTGGACCATCCAGAGGAACCCGCTTTAGACCATTGTCTTTGGATCTCCCAAAGGTATATATATTTTATATACTATATCCCTCCTGCTCAACATTTGCATTGACTGACTGCTCTTATCTTACTTGTAGCCACTCTTCGAAGTCGCTGGCCATCCCATCGTTTGGCATTGTCTCACCGCCATCGCAAAGGTTCCCTCCATTCAAGAAGTATGTATGATCGGATACTACGACGAATCTGTCTTCCGCGATTTCATCAAGGATGCTGCACACGAATATCCTCAGATCAGGATTGTTTACCTTCGAGAATACCAGGCCTTAGGAACTGCTGGAGGTTTATATCATTTCCGTGATGCTATCCTCAAGGGACGACCAGAACGTTTCTTTGTGCTCAACGCAGATGTCTGCTGTTCGTTTCCATTGAATGATATGCTCAAGCTATTTGAGGACAGAGATGCCGAAGCTGTCATTCTTGGTACCCGTGTCAGCGAAGATGCTGCTAGCAATTTTGGTTGCATCGTTTCTGATTCCCATACCAGCCGAGTTCTACATTACGTTGAGAAGCCCGAATCGCATATCTCGAACTTGATCAACTGCGGTGTCTATCTCTTCGCAACCGAATGTATCTTCCCTTCGATCAGAACCGCCATCAAGCGTCGCAGCGACCGCCCACGTCTTGTTTCTTACCCATCTTCCGAAAACCTCGAATCCTCATTCTTTCAAGATGATGAAGATGTGAAAAAGAACGAAGTCCTCAGATTGGAGCAAGATATATTAAGTGACCTCGCAGATAGCAAACAATTCTTCGTTTATGAGACCAAGGATTTCTGGAGACAAATCAAGACCGCTGGTTCAGCTATCCCAGCTAACGCCTTATACCTTCAAAAGGCATCACAAACTGGATCTAAGGAATTGGCCAAACCATCCGTTAATATCCTTGCACCCGTTTTTATCCACCCAACTGCACACGTCGACCCAACCGCCAAACTTGGCCCAAATGTTTCAATTGGTCCTCGTGCCGTTATTGGTGCTGGTGCTAGAGTAAAGGAGTCAATTGTTTTGGAGGATGCCGAAATTAAGCACGATGCTTGCGTTCTCTATTCCATCATTGGATGGAATAGTAGAGTTGGTGCTTGGGCTCGTGTTGAAGGAACACCTACACCAGCTAACAGTCATACCACAAGCATCATCAAGAATGGCGTTAAGGTTCAAAGTATCACCATCTTGGGTAAGGAGTGTAGTGTTGGAGATGAGGTTCGTGTACAGAACTGTGTCTGTTTGCCATTTAAGGAGTTGAAGAGGGTAAGTTTTCCACTCAATGACTTCCTAAAACTTAGCTAACCAATAAATTTAGGATGTATCCAATGAAGTCATCATGTAATGAATTGATGAAAGTTTTGTATTTGCAAGGATTTACAATTAATAATACCATGGCGTCGATTCGCAATGTTTCCCTTTACTGTTCTTCGTGATGATTACAATCGTTTTTTGTTTTATATCATAGATCACAATCTATTCTGAACCATTCATGACAAAATCTCTATTGATAATATTATCCCCAAACATTCGAAGTGCTATCGTTTTCCATTATTACACAAAATGTATGATGTATGTCGAACAATCATTAACTTAGTATCGTGTCACTGAGGAATATGAATGAATACCGTACTTGTATTGTATATCTCACACCTCCCTCTAATCAAGGCTGCTGCTTGGTTATGCTCAAGAATGGCAATATCGGTTTGTTTTTTTTCTCTTTCGTTTAGTGTTATTTAGTGTTTTTTTTTGGGTTTTATTAGTGTTGGGAGTTCTTGATGATGGTGATGGTGAAATTTTCATCGCGCAAATGTTATACCTAGGTAGTTATGTGGATGTGAGATCGATGAAATATTACTTTTCCGCATCATTTTCGTCCTCTTTCCTACTGTCGTCCTTTTCCTTTTCCTTTTTTTTTCCCTTTCCACTATCTTCCTCCTCCTCTCCCTCCCCTCCCCCATCCTCTCCCCCATCCTCTCCCC